TATTATATTATATTATATTATATTATATTATATTATATTATATTATATTATATTATATTATATTATATTATATTATATTATATTATATACTGTATGTATGTATGTATGTATGTGTGTGTGTGTATATATATATATGAAAGAGCAACTTTTACCCAAAATAAGGCAAAGCAGATTGAGTTGCTTGCAGAATCATAGATTCACTCACAGATCTACCTTTCTGAAATCTGCTGCCTGAGTCTGCACCGAAAAATAGAAGCTTCAGTCCTAAGGAAGTTTCAGCTCTGCTCTCAGGGCACTTCTCCCTCTCCCCCCCAATCCCTTGAATACCACCCCTGAATGGACTTCAGGAAAGCCTCCTGGGCAAAGGCAAAGCAGTACAACAGCTATTTGGATTAGCTAGAAAGCAGAAATCCGACAGGAGGTGGGGAGGGGCCAGTCAGTGGAGCAATTTTCCTGTTCTCCGAACTGCATAGAATCGTAACAATTGGTTCTATAGAACTGGTCCGAACTGGTAGAATCCCACCCCTGAGTATAGTGGTTAAGGCATCCGGCTAGAAACTGGGGGATCATGAGTTCTAGTCCTGCCTTAGATACAAAGCAAACTAGGTGACCTTGGGTCAGCCACTGTCTCTCACCTCTAGGAAGGAGGCAATAGCAAACCATTTCTGAAATCTTGCCCAAAAAACCAGCAGGGATTTATAGGGGCAGCAGCTAGGAAATTATTATTGGAAGCCCTCAATCCTAAAAAGCTATATTTTTGTCTTATTATCATGCTATGTGGATTTTGACTTTTGCACATATATGAAATTAAAAGATAGATTATGCCATTATGCTCTGCTTGTGAAGCTCCTTTGAACTTTCTGAAATTTGTAATATAGAATTCATTTAGCTGTAGCTATATGTTAAACTAGAGAGAACTGATGGGGAGAGGGAGGCAGGAATTTTGTCTGTTCATGTTGAACTTACCATAAATCCGAGCAAATGTAGCAGCACGGAAGATACTAGAGTGAGAGGATGCACCGAGATTCCAAACATAGAGAGGCCCAACCAATTCATAATCACAGCGACCTACAGAGGAAAGTGGGGAGAAATCATCCTTCTGGCCAAGCCAGAAGCCAGCTAGGTTGGAGGTTGTGAAAAAAAAAACAGGCTGCCGGCAAGATTGGGAAGTTAAAAAAAAAAAAAACACCCAGAAAGTGGCAATGAGTTCCACTCCCATATTGCTGCCAAGAAAAATACATAGATGTGTCCATGAAATCAGAAGGTGTCAAGCTCAACTTGAAGGCGACTTCACTTTTTTAGCCTGTCGTTACACTGCATTAGGGTATAGATTTCCACAAGAAAGAAGCATGCCCCATGTAACACTTTTTGTCGAAATCAGTGAGAAGAAAACCAAAGTAATCTGGTGTAAAAACAAGGCTTTGTGACTGTCAGTGATGGTGAAACAACACAAATATAACAGCAGGCTGAAATTCCGTCTGGCTATTCCGTACTGGTGCTGTCCATCCCTCCCTCCCTCCCTCCCCTCCCACTTCTTCCTCTGGTTGTTTTCCCTCATCCTCTCCCACTGCAGAGTGGCTGACACGCCCTTGCAGGCTCAGCTCTTGCCTTTATCCGCGCAAAATAAGGAATTCTTTTTCATCCCTCCCTCCCGCTCATCTGTGAGACATCAGAACAAGGAGACAGCAAGGTGCCATCGTAGAGAGAGAAAGAGAATAATGGGAGGTGGACGCATGTGAGGGGTTTGAGCAAAATGTACGGTAAATGAAGGACACAAGTAGGTGGCCATCTGATCCTTCTCCCACACTCTAGAAATTTTGCTTGAACTGCGTAGAAGCGAGTCCTCTCCGGCAAAAATAGACACAGAACTCTTCTTCTTCCATCAAATCTCTTGAAAGTGAAGTAATGCAAAGTCAACAGATGCTTAGTAAAAGGAAAGAAAACAAATGGTTCAAGGTGCTTACCATTTTGCAGAGCTTGGGGAAATGAGAAGAGGATGGAAAAGGGAAGCTGCCAACCAAGTTCCAGAATAGGCCTTATACTTTAAAAGATCCTTTGTAACCAATACTGATAAAGAATTCGCAGCCCTCCTTACCAAACCAGGTTATTTTGGGATTACATCTAACACTACAAGTACCACCCTCCATAATTAGTGCAGGTGATGGAAATTATAGCCCCAGGCATTTGACAGCCATCACTTGCAGCAAAAGGCATGGAGTTGATGTAAAAGAGAAGGAAAGGTGATGGTAAACCAATATAAACCCTGGTCTCCTGCAATATCCGTGGAAGGTTGGGGCACACCTTTTATCGGTTTCTGTTGGCACAGGAGTGGCCAAGGTTAGGAGGCAGCATTACTAGAAAAGCCTCCAGGCCTTTTCTAATGTTTGACCAGAACGTATCAACTCAGCCCTGAGTCTCACTCTGCTCCCCACATTCACCCTCACCCCAAAAAAAATCAGGCTCCTTGCTAACTCTTTGGCAGAAGAGAGAGAAAGCCAGAGGAGCCTCAACCTTATTTCGGGTCCCTTCAGCAACCTTGCAGAGCAAGGTCTCCGAGGAGTATTCCCCCCAGCTAGCGCAAAGGCAGCATCCCCACCTACTTCAAATGCGACGCAGTCCCCCCCTGCGCTGGGGTGAGATGCCCGAGGCTCATACCCTTCCCCATCGTAACATTTCTTCCTTCCCACCCGGCCCGATCCTTGCCGCCGCCGCCGCCGCCGCAATGCAGCTAAAAGCAGATGCGCCCAGTCCCGGGACACTCACGCTTGAACCAGCTGCAGTTGTAGAGATGCAGGGAAGCCGCGAAGAGCAGCACTAAAAACTGCCGGCTGCCATCCATGGTGAAGCTGCAACGCCGCACTACTTGCTGCGCTCTCAGACACCCGGCCACTTGGCCGCCGGCCCACGTGTGCTCCGCCAGCCGCCGCCTGCTGCCTGGAGCAGCCAGACGCGCGCTCCACTGCGGTAGTGCGCCTGCGTATACCTACCAAGTGGTACCTGGGGAAGTAGCTGGTGTTAGCTAGATGACGACTGAAGAGCACTCTGCGGTGGCTCAGAGGCGCTCTCAACCCGTTGTAACGGCTTATTCATAATATTTATTTCATGCACCATTTTTCTCTACAAAATTGGTCCAGTGGTTAAGGCACCAGGCTAGAAATCAGTAGTCTTACAAGTTCAAATCCCAATTAGACGTCAAAGTCAGCTGGGTGATTCTGGACCAATCACTTTCTTAGCCCAACCTGACAGGGTCGTTGTGGGAACAATATGAGGAGGCAGGTATGTTGGGAATACCCCCCCCTTGAGTTTGTTTATAAAAAATAATAAAGATGGGGTACTAATAAAATAAGTTGTGCTTCTGCCTCCCATTTGTCCCACAACTCCTGTGAGAGAGAATTGAGAGCAATCCAAAATCACTTGGTGAACCTGTATGGATGCATTAGGACTTGATGCCAGTCCAAATTCTGAACTATGCTGGCTGGAGAATTCTGGGAGTTGAAGTCCACAAGCCTTAAAGTTGCCAAGTTTGGAGACCTCTGATTTAACTCATTATTAATTCATTGAAAATGATAAGTTAAACATGAAACATCCCTCCTGACATGAATAGTTTAAGCCAAATAAAGGTTCCAAACATATCCTAGCTTCATCAGCTACATTTCTGGTGAGATGTCCTCCAACTATCCAAAGTCAGTGCTAGCAGTTCTCAAGGGCATCTAGCAAAAAAAAAAAAAAAAAAAAATACCTATCTGGGTAGGAAGCCTCCATTTTGCTGACATGTTGTGTTTTTTTTTTTTAAAAAAAAAAACCTTTTCTCTCTGGAAAGAGAACGTATCTTGGGAGGGTATTTCAAAGACTAACCAAGCCTGGGCATTTTGAAACACCTACATTGATATCTCTTCATTATTTCACATGTAATTATTCATATTAAAGGATTGAGTCGATCATCTGCACCTCTATAACTGTCTGGTTTGGTTCTGCAACCCAATAGGAGAGACACAGACTTCAGAGGATACTTAGAAAAAACAATTACTACCAACCTGCCTTCAATTGAGGACTTGCATACTGCACGAGTCAAAAAGAGGGCTGTGAAAATATTTACAGACCCCTCACATCCCGGACATAAACGGTTTCAACTCCTTCCCTCAAAACGACGCTATAGAGCACTGCACACCAGAACAACTAGACACAAGAACAGTTTTTTCCCGAACGCCATCACTCTGCTAAACAAATAATTCCCTCAACACTGTCCAACTATTTACAAAGTCTGCACTACTATTATTGTTAATCTTCTCATCACTCCTTATCACACATCCCCTCCCACTTGTGACTGTATGACTGTAACTTTGTAGCTTGTATCCTTACGATTTATATTGACTGTTTCCTAGTATGATTTGATTGCTTGTTGTACCCTATGACTACCATTAAGTGTTGTACCTATGGTTCTTGACACTTGACGAATGTATCTTTTCTTTTATGTATACTGAGAGCATTTGCACCAAAACAAATTCTTTGTGTTCAATCACACTTGGCCAATAAAGAATTCTATTCTATTCTATTCTATTCTATTCTATTCTATTCTATTCTATTCTATTCTATTCAGGAGACTACTTAAAAAGAAAGGTGAAGAAAATCATATGTAAATAAAACCTTTAGGTATTCAATTAACTGATTACTCTATCTATTCCAGGGGTGTCAAACTCAAGGTTTGCGGGCTGAATTCAGCCCACGGGGTGCTTAGTTCTGGCCCATGGGGCCACCCTGGAAATAGTGCAGACCGGCCAGCGGTGCCTCTGCTGGTGAAAATGGAGCTCAGGAGTGCGGCCCTTCCAAGTTCTGTTTTCATTGGTAGAGCACTCGGGCCACCACAGGCGTCCCCGACACAAGTGACATCGAGCTGGCCATATCCACCCGGCTGCCCCGAGGTCAAACACAATCTTAATGTAGCCCTTAATCCAGTCATATTGATATACTAGTAATTTTCAAACATGATCCAAAAATATACTCAGAAATAAGTGCCACTGAAATGGATTGGATTTATGACAATGTGGGATTGCAGCCTCCAGTTGGTTTTACACACTGTTTTAAGCCATGTCTTGTTTATATATGTGATCCAAACTGAAGTTTATTCAATATAGGTAGTCCTCAATTTACAATTGAGCCCCAAATTTTTATTGTTAATCAAGGCAGTTGTTAAGTGAGTTTTGCTCATTTTACAATCTTTTTGGCATAGCTGTTAAGCAAATCACTGCCATTGTTAAGGGAATCATGTAGTCATTAAAAGAATCTGGTTTCCCCCATTGATTTTGCTTGTTGGAAGCCAGCTGGAAAGATTAAAATGATGATCACATGACTCCAGGACGGTACAACTGTCATAAATGCATGCCAATTGCCAATACTCAAGTTTTGATCATGTGACTTTGGGGATGCCACAATGGTTGTAAGTGTGAAAATCAGTCACCTTTTTCAGTGCCATTGTAACTTTGAACAGTCACTAAATGAATGATTGTAAATTGAGAACTACCTGCAAATTACATTTAAGTGTCCAGTGGACATTTATATCATGATAAGGTAAAACTCAAAGTCTATTTATGTGCCACAGGTGAACCCAATATTCGACTCTGACATACCCACATTTTCCCTTCATCTTTTCATCAGTCTTTTCTGTCTGCAGATTGAAAAATTAGGGCTTAAACACATTGCAGATGGATTGGCTTTTTCTTCTTTTTGGCTGAGATGAAATTATACCAACTAGCTTGAGAAAAACTATTGGATACCTAGAGGAGAGTAGATAGATGATGCATAAGTGACTTAAGATTGGAGAGACAAGTGATTCTTGACACAAAGATAGCGAAAGGAAGGAAAAGATGTCCTGCAATTATAACTGGTGTTTGCAATCATCTGCCTTTGTGAATTAATTTTAAGCAAGGAATAGAGAATATCCTTGAGTTTCTATGCAATATTGTATCCTGCAATATAGAGTTAGATCAGGGGGCCCCAAACTTGGCAACTTGTGGACAGAATTCTCCAGCCAGTAGCTGGAGAATTAGAATATCTACAGTATATTATTAAGAACTATGTCTGAGTTGCTGACCCTAGAGTTTACACTATTCCTCCTCCAACCTGCAGAAGAATATTGGTTCCCGAAGGCCTTATAGAAATTAAGTTGTAAGTAAGCAGGATGGCTAAAATCAAACCTGGACTTTATAATAAAGGAAGCATGTATTGTAGGAAATGTGTCAAAAATCTAGTTTAAAAGCTTTAGACACAGAACAGGTTAAAGAAAAGGGATGACATGTTAATCTAAGAAAAAGGGGGAATCAAATGCTAAGGGTCACAGGAGAAGAGTTTCCATCCAAGCGCAAGAGCCAAGCCCTCTCCACCCCTTCATCTTTTGTTGGCTGGATGTTTAGCCAAGTCAGATCGAAGCTCCAGCTGGCAGCATCAAGCTGGAACTCATTATTGCAGCAACACACTAGGGTCAGTGAAGCTAGTTGCAGTATAGATTATCTTAATTTAATGTATTATTGTTTTTTAATAGTTGTATTGTTCTATTATAATTGCTGTATAGATTATGCTTTATTTTTGTGGACTGAGAGCTTGGTAATGTAAGTTTATTCTGGGATGACTGCTTCTTATATAAGATCCTGGGCTGGAGAGAACAGCTGATGGAGATCAACCCCTCCAGAAGCCCTTCTTCCTTTTTTTTGCCTCTTCAACTTTCTTCTATGCTTTTGACTTTGCTACCTACAATAAAGGCCTAATGCTTTTCACAAAGCAGCACAAAAGCAAAATAGCCTTTCCTAAGGATCTAGTCCTTGGCATATGCCCTCCTGCCAGATTTGGCTACCCAGAAAAGGGGGGTTCCTCCTTCCTCCTTCCTTTCCTAGTAAACCAGCTTCAGAGAGAGGATTTCTCTGGTAGCTAGGTAGAGCTTAGACCTCGTCTGCTTTTCCCAGGAGATGTGGACTGAATACAACAATGAAGCTAGTCATGGGGGAAAGCTTGTGTAGGGTTTCCTGCCTGAACTAGGGGTTGAATCTCCAACATCCCTTCCAACCATGTTATTCTGAATCATTGGCACCCAAGGCCCTATATCATATGCAGACTTACCGTATATACTCGAGTATAAGCCGAGTTTTTCAGCCCATTTTTTGTGCTGAAAAAACCCCCCTCGGCTTATACTCGAGTCAGATTCCCCTCTGGAAAAAAAATGGTGTGGAGCTCCGGAGCTGGGCAGGCGCTTCCCTGCTTCTGTGTTTCCTTTGCAACTTTTAAGCATGGGGGTAATCGGAAGCAGAAAAGTTCTTGCATGAGGATATATTTTTTTCTTTTTTTAACTGTTTTAGGGGGGGGGAAAGACCCACCGTCATGTGAGAATGCTCAGACACGAAATCTATCCGCCCGAAAAAAGTGGGGGGGGATTTTAACAGAGGGAAGATGTAGGGAGAAGGCAAAAGCGACGGAAGATCCTTCAGGGGAAACTGAGGGGGAGACTCACCCTTGGTCCAGATGAGCCCCCTTCCCCGCCCCTAAGGAAGCAGAGGCAGCCAGCAAGGGCAGGCAAGCCCCACTTCACGGACTCCGTCCGTCCTCGCTCCCACCCACCCACCCACCCAAAGCCACGAAGTCCCCCAATCACGCAGCCCAGAATCGCCCTCCCCTCAGGGGGCAGCAACGACGCCCGGTTTTTCCCGAGACAAGAAGCTCCGCCGTGCAATGAAAGCGCCCTGGCTCTAGGCTCGCGGGCTCAGAAAACAACGCAAGCCGAGGTGGCTTCGGCTCCGCTCGGCTTCTCCAACATCCGGCGCCGCCCTGTTCTATGTGCCGGGCCCGGCAAGTCCGAGCAGCCAGCGCGTGGAGCAGGGCA